TCTGCTGATGAAGTGTCTTGACAAGAGATCAGTCCTATGTTGCTGCAAGTAAGATTGGCTAAGGTAGGCGCCATTTTTATTTCATTGCAACCACACCCATATCAATGAAAATATTTCATTAGAATGTTACCGCATTAGATCATTGATTTTTAAATAGATATTGTGCACACATGGGTGTGACCAGAATAGGCGTGACTGGAGACGTACGTACATACATACATACATACGGAGGGAGGGAGGGAGACTTCGCCTGAGTGGGGCGAGCTTATGCTCGCCCCAATTAATTGAAAATGGATGTTGGTGCTCTAGCTAGTCTTCTTGGTATCCTTTCTCTGCATTTGCATATTCTTCCAGATACTATAAATTCATCAGAGCAGTTATAATAGGATGTCATGAGAAGTCTCATCTATAGGAAGCTCCTCAAACCTGGCCATATATGCCGCCTCAGTTCTCTCCATGTTGAAAACACCAAATTAGATCTGCTAAACGAACTGTAACGATTGTTAGCCTGGGAAGTGATGTTGCTTCCACAGCTGACAGTCTTACAAGTCGTCATTGTTTCTTTATGTATAATTATAATTATTTTTGTTTTTATTATTAAACAATAATTAGCTATTAATTATTCATTATGATGACATAGGCTGCTACAGCAGCTGCAGCTTCATCCGAAGCCATAGTAGTTGAAACATAGTATCTATGGTTGAAAACAAGTCTGGTATACACGAGGTTCCTGACCCTCCGTTTTCGCAAAGGTCAGGCCACGCCTGACTAGCCAGATCCGGTGCGTTGGCGGCTGGTCATGTGAACATAATTATTAGGTGGAGGTATGACACATTGACCTTTGATTAAAATTGCAAAGTTCAATTGCATGCCCAAAATTATATCAAAATATATTATCAGTACTGGTACAGCTCTGTTGGGCCGTGTTGGCTATCATTGCTGAATCATGAAAATCCATCAGGCCCAATCCAGTATACATGCTCATCATAAATACCTGTACTGTGTCTGATTCCATGATTGTACTAGTATGGGACTGATTGCCCGAAATCTATAATTCATGTCTGACATCAGGATTGGTTTTGTTCAGGCCTGATCAATGTGACTATACCAGTATTTGGCTGTGTATCACGTCACGTGATGCACGTCACGTGATGCAGTACTGTAGTACAGTACGACTAGTACCACTTCGAGCAATACCGTATAGAGGTATATTTCTTGGGGAAAATATTTCATGAAAATCACCTTTCAACCTATTCACATATTTTTTTTGCGTTTTTTTTTCAACTGACCACTAGACTATTAGTATATGATTAAAATAATAATCACTGATCAATATTTTCACAAATTTTTTAAAATTGCATAATCATGTGTTATCTCTAGGTCCTTCATACAACTCCTTGAAATAGTACGAACAGTGACGAGTGGAGTTAAGCATTCTCTTGAGAAATGCTATTATTTGCTCCTTTTAATAATAAATTTAATTGTGACGATATACTTTAGATTTTATTGACAATTATAACTTTCTTAGTTATCAGTTAAAATCTAAATGTTGAATTAAGGCGGATTATGCAGGTCCTGATTTTACATTGATGCTAGAATACAATTGTGTTCGCTTTTAGTGTAAAGCGTGTGTCAAAAAGGTCAAATCACCCACACTTTTGATTTAAAATTGACGGTACACTCGCCTAATGTCATACTGTCAACCAGACTTTATTCTGTCATTACTTTTTTGTGTACAATATTCCCATTATATTCTCATTATCTACACTGTTAGTGTAGAAATATTGCTCTGTTTCCACCACCTTGCATGCATAGCTGCGTTCTTATTAAGACTGATAAAGGTTCTTTCAGTCTTTCTATAGCTGTTGACTGTCTATGGAGAAAGTTCATTTTTAGTGAAATTGTCAGTGATTGTAAAAAAATTGTAAAATTTTGAAGTATTTTGGCAATTGCTCATTGCCAACTGATGTGGCATAGATCCCGGGTGGCTGTCAGTGGCCCATGCATGAACCATGATGATAGCATGGCCAGATCTACATTGACTAATTGGTACATGGTAATCACTCACTTTTATAATTATAAGATCATCACAAATTTGAGTCATGTAGCCTAGATAATGAAATTATGGTCGATCTAAAAATTTTTGTTGTGGCTTTAATTTTACTGTATTAGAAATTAGATCACATGCATAAATGCATGCCACATTCAAAAATGTATGACACAGTCTTATTACATAACAATTAAGTCACAGCACAATTTTGAAATACAAAATTTTTTACAGCATAAATTTCCTGATTTACGATAGTTTGTATCAAAAATACAAGATAACAGTGGTTCATAACTACAATAATAAAAACAACCAAAACATCATTAATGCATTCTATATATAATTTTAATAGCTTTCACTTCATCAATATCTGCATATAAAGTTTTAAAAAGACAGTCAACATTATGCCTTGAGAAAGCGCTGACTTCAAAGTATCTTATACTAAACTGGTCAGCAAAAATCTGAGCCCTCTCTTGACTGACTTCTCTGTATTGCTCTACTTCACATTTTGTTCCAATCAAATAAATGAGACACTCATCAAGTGCATACTTGCAATTCTCTTTTATCACACGCATCCAATAAGTAACAGCTGAGTTAAATGTATCCTCATTACATAAGTCAAAGACAATGAAAAAAATTCTGCCCTGTTTCAAGTAGCTTAACACCACATTTCTGAACTGCTCATGCCCACCAGCATCAAAAAGGTGTAAATTAATTATTTCGCTACTAGTAGGTAATTCAACCTGCTTCAAGCAACTGTTTTCCACACCGATGGTAGCTCTTTGTGATGCCCCTGGCTGTTGATTTAAGGGTGAAGAATTGATGTAGGAAAGTATCAAGGAGGTTTTCCCTACATTTGAATCACCAACAACAGTGACACTTGACACAAGACTGAATGGAGGCCTTTCTTGTGTAGAATCAGAGGTACGCTTGTTCTGGACATTCATGACTGTATCACACCATCTATGATCACACCTTAACACCTTTTCTATTCAAACTGCTATTTCCTTGTTTGTGCCAATAGTACTATTACATGAAGTTGCTTTTGTGCTGTGACATTAGGTTTACAGTTAGTATACTTGTTAAGTTATAGTTCTATAGCTAGTCAGGTGGAGCCTGACTTAGTCTATAGCTATCACATGATTGCGATATCAGGGCAGTGCATATGCATGGGTGCATCAATACCCATGAACTGAGTCACTCTGTCAACAAAATAACTGCAAATGTGCCGGCCATTATGCTAAAATAGCTAGCTGCTAGCCTAAAAGTACACCCCAGCATGCAATGTGTCGATGCTAGCTGCTCTGTGTAGATCTACACATTAGATCTAGAAGTGAAGCTGTGATTCGAACTTATTGATTTTAAAATATCTATTATGCTTGCACAGCAATACATAGGTAATTTTTGTTGCTGTTGCTGGTAAACTATTATCAAGAGTAGATAATTATTATCCACTCTTGCTATTATGCAAAGCAATAAAAATTTTATGATACTGGTATCATTTTTAGCAAGAGTATTTTAGCAAGCGGCTCGATTTTGGGCGGAGTCAGGTATAAAATGGAGCTGGTTCTTGGAGTTGATGTTGGAGGCACGTACACAGATGCTGTTGTTGTTAGTGGCAGAAAAGTAATATCGTCTTGCAAGCGTCAAACAACACTCAACAGGACTGAAGGCATCGTCAGTGCTATTAAAGGAGCTATAGGAAATTGCAATTCACAGGATATAGTTAGAGTATGCATCGGTACAACTCACTTCATAAATGCTGTTGTTGAGAGATCAGTTGATAAATTATCTCGAGTTGCTGTCGTTAGACTCTGTGGACCTGCTTCAATAGCACTACCGCCATTTTCTGATTTCCCTTCAGATCTTTCTTCCCTAGTGAAAGCCAGTGTCCACATGATATCTGGTGGCCTTGAATACAATGGAAGTTTTATCAGCCATCTTTCTGTAGATGAGATTAAAGAGCTTGGAGTTGATTTTCTTAGTCGTTCCTCACCAGTTACTAATATTGTAATATCTGGTGTATTTTCACCAATGACTAATCCTGATTCCAATCAAGAAGTAAAGGTTGCCAATATCCTTCACAGTGTTTCTGATTCATTCAGTATTACTCTTGCAAGCAAGGTATGAAAAAGTTATTGGAACATTATTATAATTTTAATTAATTTAGATTGGTAAACTTGGGATATTAGAGAGGGAAAATGCTGCTATTCTTAATGAGTCCCTAAAAGCATTTTCAAGACGTACCATCGATGAGTTTAAAGCTGCTCTCCAGTCTCTGCAATTAAATTGTCCCTTCTATTTGACTCAAAATGATGGCACTTTGATAAGGTTTTCCATCTGCAACAATCGTGTTTTAATAATGTTTTTATAGTGTAGATGAGGCTTTGGAATATCCTATTTTTACATTTTCCTCTGGTTCAACAAACAGCATGAGAGGTGCCATGTTTTTATCAGGTAAAGAGGATGGAATTGTTGTTGACATTGGTGGTACTACAACTGATGTGGGTGTTCTTGTTAAAGGATTTCCAAGGGAGGCATCATCTCAAGTTAAGGTAAACTATACTATATCCCAGTTGAGTTTGGAACAAGAAAAACTGGAATAACTTTTTATAGGAATGTGGGATAAGGATGAAACTTTCACAGGTTCTTAGTCGCCAAAGTCCATCAAAATCTGTGAAATCTTGGGTCTCTCAACTCTTGGGAACCCTGAGAACCGGGTTCTCCCTATAAACCCAATGGCATACCAAAATGACGTTTTATGACAAATATCTACGTCATAGTTTACATAAGAACATGTGGTCGAGCGCCCAAACTGATAATTCTTGTTTTAAAAAGCTAACAGAGCAAGATCTTCTGATAATGATGGCCTTTATGAAGACTAGTTGACTCCAGCAGCTATTGTACTGCTTATCAGGAAGAACAAGACTGTTTTAAGAGTGAAACAACTCAGCCGCCATGCTTCTATGAATATCATTAAAATACGTCATTTTGTGACGTAGCTACATTTTTCAAATTCCATGCAGCTGCTTCCACTTCCGTCCCAAACTGAACTGGGATATAGTATACATTAATGTTTTAAGGCTTAATTTTCAGTTTGAAAACTGAATTTTATTTAATGACAGGTGAATTTTAATTTATTTAAATGTATATTTTGTTTGATTATACTAGATTGGTGGTGTCAAAACTAATTTTCGAGTGCCAAATGTTGTAAGTATTGGGCTAGGAGGAGGATCATTGGTTGTATCTTCTGACAATTCTGTGAGCTAAAAATTACATGTATACTACAACTAATAGGCTGTGTTTAATAGGGTGAGATACAAGTTGGTCCAAATAGTGTAGGAATGAATTTGACTTCTAAAGCAATTTGTTTTGGAGGAGATGTTTGTACTGCCACTGACATAGCCTTAGCTGCAGGAATTTGTGAAGGTACATGTATACTGCAATGTAATGGCTAATAGCCAAGATACCAAAAAGTCTGACTGTAATAATAATGGACTGAATCCAAGTACATTCACTTTAATTGTTTGTGTAACCCTTGGCTATTCTGACCCAGACTGACCGGCTCTGCACTTTGACCTAATTAAATATTTGCTAAGTCATAACTCACTTTTTGTTGCTTTTATCCACTTATTTCAATTATCATTGTTTTCTACTAAGTTTATTCTATCTATTCACCATTAATACAAAAAGTATAGGGCTACCTAGGCAGGGCTATTCTCAGTATTCTGACCCTGGAGCATTGATTTCTTCTTCCTTGAAACAGAGGGATAAAGTAGCCCTGGGGATGAAATAGCCCCGACTAACTTTATATTCAATAACTATACAATACACAGTTAATCATGACGAATTTCCTTTTAGCATGTTTTATGCATTCAATTATGTTTTATACATTAGATAACAACTTGCCTTCAAATAAGAAAAAAGAAATAATTTCCAAATTTGGTGGTATAATCTATCCTGCGATGAGAAATATTCACCTAAAAATTGAAGAAGTTATTGATCTTGTGAAGGTATATCATTTTAAATGCCAATTTGGCTAATCTCTGTCATTAGACAAACAAAGAAGATGCAGTAGTCATATTAGTTGGTGGTGGAAGTATCCTGGTAGACATAAAGCAATCCCTTAAAGGAGCTATGAGGTTCATTAAACCTCCACATTTTGAAGTTAGTTAAACTACATGTAGGTTGTATTCAGCCTTGAACTTTTACTTCATTAGCTACATGCATGTACATGTTGTATTGTTTTTTTATGCAGGTTGCAAATGCAGTTGGTGCCGCTCTTGGGATGATAGCTGGATATTCTGATAGTGTTGAGAGTTTATCTGAAGCAATGAAAAAAGTTAAAGTTGAATTCCAAGATAAACCTGAGAATGAGATTCGAGACGAAGCACAACGTAGACTTGTGAAAGAATGTATAGATAAAGCAATAGAAAATGCAAGGCAAAAAGGTACTTTACATGTACAAGTATAAAAATTCCTGTTAATGAGACCAGTAGATGATAAGCAGAGGTTTAGTTTTGTTTTTTATTGAAGCACTAGATTAAATTTTGTGACTACAGTTTATTTTTCAATCTAGGCATAAATTAACATTGTTTTTTACAGATATGATAATACCGTAGGTCGGGATATATTCGCGGCTGCAATTATTCGCAGTCTTAAAAAATTCAATTAAAAATCATGGAAACTGTTAGAGCATTGCTATGACAATTAAGACCACGTGTTTAGTGTTCAGCTATTCATCTGTTCTTTAGCAGCTATAGTGGAGCCATTCACCAATAGCGAGTCCTTCTTTATCTGTTAACTTCTTGTATGGACCGCTACCTCAGAGCTCTTTCAGCCTCTTTGCTGCAAACCCACGTGCTGGTGATAATAAACCACGCCCAAGTCAATAAACACTAACTAGAATGGGTGGAGAGTCCCAAAATACGGCTAGGCACTAGTTCTGAAAAGAACCGGTAAAGCAGCTCCAAAGAGCCCAAGGCTTAGTGACACAAGAAGAACAACAGCTCAAGAACACTGCAGCAAGGTGCTTTTCTTCACTATCGCACAGTTTTTAATTAAAATAACACCTCGGTTTCCATGGTTTTTAATTGAAATTTTTTATGACCGCGAATAATTGCAGCTGCGAATATATCCCGACCTACGGTATTATTATGTAAATGAATTTTTTAATAGCATAAATTTATGTGATTACAAAGCTAAAAGTGTTTTTAACTTTGCCGTAACATCTCTTAAATTTACACTTATGATCACTGCATTAGATAAAATAATTTGCAATATACATGTACCGTACAGCTGGTTTGTTTTGTGTGGTAAACTTGTTTTTTTGGGGAGGGGATCCAACTTTATGGTTTTTATTTTTGTTCTGTGGAAGGACCACATCTTTTCTTTCTGTTTTCATAATTTTGTGAATTATAATTTTTGTTTGGAGCTTATAAAAAGTACAAAAGTTTCACCAAACAAACCCCCTATACGGTAGTAAAACAATATTCTTTTGCTTAATCATTCTCCACGAAATTTCATGCTGTGTGACATCAAAAGATTGTTGATTTAACAAACAGGCTCTAAATTTTCATGTAGCCATTTGAGCTGCACATATGCAATATAGTGTAATGGCCAAGGCATCTACATGTACATTTTACATATACATGTACATGTACTTGTACCTTTTTTATCTTTGCAGGTTGTCATCCTGGGTCTGAGTATGTACATGAACAATCTGTGATGGATGTGACATATGTTCCAGACATGCTAAGAATATCAGTTAAAGTTATTGGATTGCTTAAAGATCAACAAAATCTGAAAGTTGATGATTTAGGTACTCTCATATTTTTAGGTGATTTGATATTAATTTTTAAACTTTCAGCGACTGAAAGCAAGGCTGTTCAAGACAAAAGTGTTTCTCCTAGTGCATCTACAGACAGTGTTTGGCCTTATCAATGTATGAAGGATATAACTTTGGACAATGAAGCCAATTTACCTCCACCTCGTGTCAATAAAGATACTGGTATACATCTCTAAGATATTAATTAAGTCTACCGTTTTTCATTTATAGGTGAATGGTTGTTAAATGAGGTTGATGTTGAATGTATTTCAATTGGTGCTGGAATATTAGGCTGTGGAGGAGGTGGTAGTCCTAGTATTGGTTGTGTTGCAGCTTTAAATGCATTGAAAGAAGGGAAGGAAATAAAAATAGTCAATCCCTTCAGGTACATGTACAATATATGGACAGTAAAGTACATGTAAATGTCTTTTTTCTAATCAATTTTTAGATGTAAAGGAGGTGAAAATTGTGATTTAATAGCAGCCGTAGCTTTTATGGGTGCTCCCGCTGTTCTTTGTGAGAAGTTATTTAATGGAACTGAGACCACTCTCTGCCTTAAAACAATGCAAAGATTGTTAGCAGCAGGTACTGTTTGGTTGTTATTATGTACAGTATACTGGATGGTTATGATAGTTTCCCCATGCAGCATCCTGTTGTGTGGGCTTAGTAGCATGCTTCATTAGCTGACAAGCACAAGCCTTTTGACCATTTTAGTACGTAGTACATGTACATGGATTTTGGAGCATATATAGTACATGTACTAGCAACTTTTAAAAATTACAAAAATCTATTTTGATCACAATTAGTTTAAACACTCAAGAACATCTACATGTACAATTGCAGTATATAGATTAGAAAATGTAATGAAATTGGAGAATGAGTTTTAAAATTCATAATAAATGTTTCTTTTCATTAAAATCAGCTTTAAGTTTGTATACTCCATTGGTATCAGAAATAATATTTAGAATTTAAAATGAAAATTATCTGCTATTATTGCACAGGACTATTGTCAAATTTGTAAACAATTTTAAAATTCATAAAAACCTCAATCTTAATCAGAATCAGCTCAAGCTTTTTATGCAACATGTAGGTAATAGGTATGCTTAAGAAAATGTAGTAATAACTGGAGTTTCCCTAGCCTTATTTACATAAACTAGAGTGTGCTAAGCAAGCTAAATGATATGCTTAAAATGCCTTCTAGCTGAGCAGTGAGCACTACATATGTCAAATACATGCAAATTTAATTTTACGACTTATCAGTGAATTGTTGAAACTTATTTTTGCATAGGTTTGTATGGAGGAGAGAATGATATTGACAAACTGAGCAGTAAGGGAATAAGTGCATCATTCTTCAATCTTGAAAATAAAAATCAAGCATGTATCATTGATGAGTCCACACTTCCTGAAATTACCTCAGAAACTAAAAGGGTAATAATGAAGACCATTAATGATTTTGATTCATTAATAATTATAGGCAAGACAGATTACTGGATTGATGTCAGCTGAAATTGGTGGAATGAATTCAATTGAGCCTTTATTGGTTGGTGCTAATATGAAGCTCCCTGTACTAGATGCTGATGGCATGGGAAGAGCTTTTCCAGAACTACAAGTACTTATTCATGGGTTTTGTTTTAATATTTTTTTTCATTTTTAAGATGTATGTACCATTCATGAATGGACTGAATTCTTATCCTTGTTGTGTAGCAAGTGAGAAAGGGGAAATTTATGTAGTCTCACATGTACACACTTCTAAAGATTTGGAAGACATCCTAAGGATAAAATGTGTGGAAATGGGGTGAATGTTCTTAAGAAAGATGATTAATTTAATATTGAATTCTGTTAATAGAATGACTTGTGGTATTTGCTTACCTCCTGTTACACTGGATGAAATGTTTAAGGATTGTATAATACATTCTTACAGTAGAGCATGGCAGCTTGGAAGATGTGTGATGAGGGCAAGAAAATCCCATAGTAATGTTGTCCAAGCTATTACTAAGCAACAGAATGGAATTTTATTGCTAACAGGAAAGGTAAATGTAGTAATAATTACATGTCAATGTAACATGTTTGAATTTATACTGTACATGTACAGTAGGTTGTACGTGTATGTATATGTGTGTGTCCCTATAAATAAGAACTTCCCTAATGTAATCCCAATCCTGAATGAGCATCATTGCTTTGAGTTTTACATAATAGTTGATAGTTAAAATTTAGGTGCTTTTTAACAACACTTAGGAATTTGTACATGTATATACACATGTAAGAGAATTGTACACGGGGTTTTCCACAAAATTTTGGTATAGTGCTCATGCAGTGTCTTATCAATGGATTGTCAAGTTGCTCAAAAATTGGGCCTAAGACTCCATACAGGGTATTTTGAAAAAAATTACAAGGAGAGAATTCTTCATTTTAATTTTTTCTAATATGCATTCATGTACATGAATGTCTTTATGTTGTGTATAGGGCTAAGCAAATATACTTCAATTTTATCTGCATTTATTATGCTTTTAGGCACTGCCCCAATTCCATCTTATCATACTTTGAAATGAATCCCCCCAGAAATCCAGTTTGATTAATTTTAAATTTTGGCTGTTTTCCAAATTTTTCAAAAATTCAAATTTTGAAATTGGAATTTCTCCTAAATCCCCAAGATGCATCTGTTATAATTGCAATATCGTATATTATTGTAATAATGCCAGAATCTGACAATGTTTCTAGTGACTTTTAGTCATTGCAACATAGAACAACTAAATCATTGTACTTGCCAAACTTGTGTAGGTTGCCAGGCTTGAGTAGGTACCTGGGTATTAAGCAGTAAAGTTGCTGTACTAGTACTTGTACCACCTGCCATATTGAATTGAAATCATGTGGTCAGGGGTATGAAGCCAGAAATTTTTAACCCATTATGCTAGCATAATAACTTGCCCTAGTTGCTCCAGGTTATGCCAGCATAAATTGCCTAGCCCTAGTTGTGTATTAAGTTTGAGCTAATTCTGATCAAATTAAATTTTTAATGATTTTTTAAGTTGCTCAAAAAATTGGGCCAAAGACCAAAGGCTATACTTAGGCCAAATTGGCTAAAGGAATATTCTCCATTTTTATCATTTTTTTGATACATTGTACAGGTAAATATTTTATGTTGTGTCAATTTAAGTTGATTCAAGCCTAGTTGCTCAAATTGCAATGTACTGTATTGTAGTGCTTGCAGGTTCATAAAGCCTGTTTAGCTGACTTAATTAGCATGCTTTGTCGGAAACCCTGATTGCTCATGTAAAATAACAATTAAATCTTTTTTATTTTACATGTGTATTGTATGAGTAACAGATGTTCCATTCCAACAATTAGGCCTTCTTCTAGCAACACACTGGTATACATGTACATGTATATGCATACACTGCACCACAGCATACATGTATTAATTGCCATGGGGATTTAATGCTAATTGTTGTCCTGTCACCACTGGCCTTCTATTACTTATCATAATTGAAACTGATATTTTGTGGTGCCAATTAAAACTAATAGTACTGTTAGTCATTGTCTAATAATAAGGTAGTCTTGGACAAATTTTGAGTTTGGGTATTATTTTGTGTGACCCTGTCATAATTTTTGCCAATAGGTTTAACACATACATGTACATGTATCAAAAATACCCATGCCTTGCTTTGTGCATATGCATGTATAGAAAGTTTCAATTTCTAAGCAGTGCTTTATAGTTGTACATGTGTAAGCATTTGAACTAAGTAGTCAAATTTCGCTGAAGTCCCATCAAAAATGAAGTTATGAGCATTAACTTCTGGAATTATTATGGCCAAAGGCCTAATTTTGTATATTATTATAATAAAAGCCACAATAGTGAATGATAATACAGGGAAGTATGGTAATGAGTGTTTTATAAAATTAAAATTTTATGGAAATCTAAATTTTGTTTATGATCAGTATATTATTTTTTACTATCACAAACTGACATCAAATTATTAATTGTATGTATGGTAGCCACACTATAGCAATACTACATTAATTCCATGCATGTGATTTATACTGATGCTTGTGCCAAATTATATTGGAAACATTGCTGACTAAGAATTGTTTATCAAAGTTTTATTAATCTAATTTTTTGTAACAATTATTAATCATTCTGGAATAGTTAATAATGAAGTTAATGAATGAAACAAAATTAATCCCTACAATTCATGTTAAATTCTTATAATTGTTACCTAAATTTTATAGGAATTTCCTTTCTGCTCAAGATATTTATTATTCTCAAATTTTATTTTACAATACAGGTAGTTGATATAGTAAGAGTAACTGAAGGTGCATTTACTGGAAGTGTTTTTATCATCAAAGGAACTGGATTATATTCTATGTTTAGTATTCAAATTAATGCAAAAAATGAGAATTTAGTTGCCAGAGAAGTTAATGATAATGGAGCTGTTGGTCGTGTTTTGGCAACAACTCCCGATCTTATTACAGTTGTGGACAGTGACTCTGGTTTGTTAATAAATTATAAATATTGATCATTAAATTTATTTTTTTACATCCAGGGTATCCCATTACTACTGAGGAGGTGAAGTATGGCCTTAGGGTCTCTGTTTTGGTGTTACCAGCTGATCCCAAGCTACTAACAGATAAAGCTATTTCTGTCGTTGGTCCACAAGGATTTCAAATGAGTGACATTGACTACATTGCACCAGTGTCACTTTTATAAATGACACTGGTAGTTTATGTTACTTTGTTTTTTACAATTGCTATTTTTTGATTATATAAATTGTTAAAGAAGTTAAAATGTACTTATATTTTTAAAATCATTATAAGCTGTACTCACAACACCTAACAAATGCATGTCTGACAGCCAATATAATTGATAATCAGGAACTACATGTAGAGTAATTGTGAGTAAGGTCTATTGTGTTGTTTACTTACAGTAGATTGTACTTGTAGTTGAACAGACAACTTGTTTTATGGTGAGGAAGATTATAAGATGAAGAAACTTGCTGCTCTTGTCTACCTAGGTGTATACTTGATATGTGTCTCTGGGTAAGGTTCTATAATGTGAGCATGTTTTTATTGATGTCAATTTTATGTAGGACCAGTAACAGTTGGCCAATTTCTCTTAGCATGTCATGCTATGAGGTTCAACCTAAAGTTGCTTGTTCCTTTGATTTCACTAACAATGCTAATCAGGACTATTATCTTCTTAAACGTAATACTCCTTTGGAAGGAATGTTTTCTCCTTTTGTCGCTATATCCTACAATGGTGCTCCTTTAAATTATGAAGGCATTGTTGCTTATCGTTTTCCTCCAGTGCAAAATGAGTTTGTCTTAATTAAACCAGGTGAAAGTGTTTCTGCAATTGCTTATATCAGTGATGCTTTTAATCTTCGTTCTGATGGCTTGTACTCTATAAGTTATGTCAGTCCTTTGGAATTTTTATCAAAGGAGCAAATGGAGATGACAGCCTTTGATGCCAAGATTCGTTATGCTAATCATTTAGAAGTCAGCGAGTCAGTACAAATTAGTCTGAAGAATACTCATATGTTATTAAGGCCTTCATTTATTGACACGCATTCACAAGATGCTGATCGTCAAATAGTCACAATTAAAGGATGTGATAGTGCCTCTTTCATTGGAGGAAACCAGACACAAAGAGATGATGTACTCGCAGCTCACATTAAACTCTGTGCACAGTTTGGTTCAGCAAGAAAGATAGTCCAAAATGATGCTTTTTACAAAACATGGTTTGGTGAATACACTGCAGAGCGTTCCAATAAAGTTAAGCTGGTTTTGCAACAATGTGAGGATGGAATCACTCAAGATACAGTTACTTATGACATGAATGGATTGTATTGCTTCATACCATTTTCATATGCATATTATGTGCGAGGAGAAAAGGCAAAAGTTCACCTTTGTGCTTTATTCCATGATGTTAAAAGTGTGACCTGCAGAGAAGATGGTGATGCATCAAAAGAGCAAATACTGGCTCATGAGTGGACTCATTGCTATGGTGGCACAGAAGATTACATGACGTATGGAGAAGAAGATAATAAGGCTATGGCTATGAATGACCCTGATAAGGCTGTCAACCATGCTGATAGTTATGCATACTACTACTGTCTTGCTTACTGGCAGTAGATTTATTGAGTAAGAGTAGACTATAGATAGTGTTTTGCATAATTTTAGTGAATCAGTTGAATTATTATTATGCATGAATTTAGATAAATAAAAAATCAGTGATTTCATAGAGCTATACAAAAGCCATAAAATTAATTTTCATAATACTGTACAAGATGATTTATTGGCAAGGAATTAATATTGGCAATTGGCTGTTGTAAAAAGAAATTGCCAATATGAAATCCACCAATTTCCACAGGCAAATTCACCAAAATATTACTCCTGCCAATAAATTATCTTGTACGGTAAATCAAAATTACATAAACCACATCAATGATGTGCAGTAGTCTAGAATTTTAACAGTCAAGCAAAGTTTTGTACTGAATAATGGAAATTATTGATGGGCCTTTGGCCTGGTATAGATGGTAATACTGAGCGCATGATTGTTGTTATAGATTTAGATCTATCACGCATATTATTTTCAATTTAGAAGTAAAACTTTTCCCTTTGTATCAAAATATAAATTACATATGACAGATAATCTACATGTCACAAGCAACTGTGGACCAGGACAGCATTTTGTAGCAAAATATAATATGTCACGCATCTGGAGGCCATGCATGAGACTAATCTATGCATAGAATAACATCATATTGATCAGAAAGATGATCAAAGATGAATAAACAAAATAATAATTGAAAGAGAAACACACAATAAAACTAAATCTAAACTAAAAAACAGTTAAAATTTAAGAAAAGGCAATGTAAGTGGCTGAGAAAATAACAATCACACAAAAGGTACATGTATGCAAATAATAGTTCCTTTCTTCAAAATTAGTTCATCAGGCATTTGGTGTTTCTTAGTATACACCTGCATTGTACCAGCTATCTCCTTGGGGGTTGATTGGCGTTCCTAATTTGTTGGGCTCACTACTCATCGTTACACTTGAAGATGCTAGTAGTTTCACTCTCAAAAAAATCTAAGTATTACAGCAAATTAAAAAAGTAAAGACTGACTATTGATGCCTTACTTTTAATTATCATTCTTCATTAAACAATCATAATACTGGTTGCTGTCATACGAATCAAGTCAGTTGTCACTGTCAGATATGTAGCTGTTCATCACACTACCTACAAAGCATTAAAGAAAAGAGCTAAAATTAGTAAAGCAAAACCTGCCATCAGTGATTGATGACAGGTTCTGCTCAAACCATCACATACACAATGCACATATTCATCTGATGCTGATAAATACTATCATGTCTTTCCCTAATGCCAAGCTTTTTCATAGCCTTGTTCATTTCACATGAAGCAAGGACACTCACTTACAGGCAAATTTTAAATTTGCACCATAAGACAATCAGTCATAATAGTAGAGATAACAATTATGATTCAATTGTACTCTTAATTCAATAGGGTTGCATCTATTTGTATCATCATAATCAATAATCAATTTCAATCATAAAATAATTTTGGTACATGTACATTAATTTACCTGCAGTGTGTTTGTTTCAAATACTGCATCATTTTAGATAGGCAAAATTTAGGACTCAGCCTAGATATAAGAGATGGTCAATAATTATATAAATGTTTCTCAAAAAGTTAACATTTTAAAGCACAGCTGGTCTAATTTAACAAATTGCTTTTGTTGTGGTAGTTGCTTCAACAAACCTGTACCAGTGAAAAGCTTTGCTGTTTCTAATTAATCTTAAGGTATCAAAAGCAATAATGCTACATTTACCTGCAACAGTTTTGAGCTTACTGGAAAAGTGTTTGACATGTTTCTAACATGAAATAATGCCCCACATGTGACAGAATAGGGAACAGCATAAAAGGAGCTAATCAGAATTTACATGATAGGAGGCGGCAGGATTACAAGAGTAGTTGGGCAAAAAAATGGTACCAAAAGCCATAGATATTAGAGTAAATGAAAGAGACTGGAAACCACAGTAAAATTAATGTACAATGCACATGCCATGTGTTGCTTAGCGATGTTGCAAGTTGTTTCTTTGGTCGGGAATATAGGAAAATGGAGAAAAATCACTGAAGTTCATGGCTTATAATCAGGAACTGGTGGTTTGATTGGAGAATAAACCTAATAGTTTAGTCACCCAGCCCGGGTACAAGACTATAAATCTAATGAAATGGTTTGGAGTAAGGATCAGTGATCATTCTGCACCTACACTGAATTTACATGTGCCTCACTCTCAGTCATAATTCAAGTCGAATGTTTTCAAGTTATTTTTGATTTGCTCCACCTTCTAGCCTCACTGTGTCAGACAAAGAGAGACACAGTTTATAATTGCTGCAAAAAATAAAGATCAAATCAATCCATTGATACCTGGTTCAGAAGTACTGCACTAATGGCCAAATGAAATCCTATATGAACTCTGTCTGTACAGTTGTCCGTTTAGTTTTGTATAGTGAGTGGGCGTATCAAAGGCACCGCCTGTAGTTACAAATGTGATATCAGTATCTCTATGGTTTTATTTACATCTCAGCAGTTCTGACAGTAAAAAGTTTTTTAAAATAAAATATACAAAACATATTGTACAGATAATAAGCTGAAAGTGAACTGTCAATGCCCAGTAGCCCAAGGTACAAAGCTGGAAAAAAAGGAGCCTCCAGAGTCCAGACAACTTTAGATCAATACGCCGACCCAATGCCCATCAATATATTTGCCCCTGTTATATTTTCTTTTACCGAATTTAGACTTGGCTATTTCAAATATTGAACCAGGTCTATTAATGAGTGTTGGATGACTCAGGAAGTAATCAGCACAAATACCTTGAAAAAGTTAAACCAGTCAACAACAGTGTGCTCTGAATGTCCAGTTTCGTGCATTGTTGCTTGAATTGTGCTCTTACATGACCACCAATACATAAAATCTACAATTTCATTTAATTTTAGATAGCTTCCAGAAAAGAATGAGTCATTCCTTATAGATACAACTACTTGGCATCCTTTTAAAAGGACCCATCCTTACTTTTGACTCATTTTTGACATTATTCTGCAAAATGCACCACATTTCTTGCACTGCTAGAGTTGGCTAGAAGATACTTGCTTATAAGCCATAATTGTAGTTACATCTTGATCATAGCTAGGTCACAGAGGAATAGAGTCTTATAATTCATCATTAATATTTGTTTCAATAAACAAATTAAAAAATACATAGCAATATTATTGCGCATTAGCAACTATTAAAATATTATTATTATTATTATTATTATTATTATTATTATTATTGTGTAAGTGACATAAATTAATTAATTAACCTGACGTCACTTAAATACATTAATTTGGTAGGACCTAAACTGCAACATAACCACTGATTAATAATCCATGCACATAAAGTTCAAATCAATAGTTGACAAGCCTCAATGGTAAAAAAGATGGCTGGGGAAGGAAAGATTGATACACAGCCCGCTAGCACTAAACGCCAGATCTCTGTTCTGGATCTAGATTATACTCTTTCAGATATTGCAGCCAGAAATATACTTTAGATGTGTCAATCTAAGGCATAAATCAGATGATAGAGTACCTTTTTCAAAGCCTCTTAACCTCGATTGCTCCGATTGTAGTATTTTACCAAGAAAGAGGTGTAGTGCTATTGAGCATTCACAATGGTGTGCCTTTAATACGCCCACTCATTACTATACAAATATGTTGATAACACCCCTGCTGTGGGATACATCATATTTGCATCCCTAGCAGGGGTGTTATGATGTATATTTGTATCTTTTTCTGAAAGCCAATTTCATGAACTATCTATTGATGCTTAAAAAACATGAACTTACGCTATAATTGAAGTTTTCAGACATCTTCTAATGGGTATTGTTTTGATATCTAAGGTACAAGTAGGTCCAAAAATTGCACTAGCCAGTAACAAACACTCTAGCCTTAAACTTTTTTGTGTAAGTCTGTACTTTAAATGAGAATGTCTTCCATATACTTTTGTGTTTTCTTTCTATTTGATATAATAATCATAAATACTTAGGTTTAGAAAATTTGACAGTTGTCAGTTAGAGATGATTTTATTTCAGGAGTTCAGAATACAGCAGAGAAGTGCCCTCATTTTATTCTAATAATCCATTAAATTTAATACAACATTGACAACTTAGCATTTGCGTAATAGATAAAGCATAGTTAGGAGTGCCACACAATTGATACGGGCACTGCTGTGACGTAACACAAGGGCCTTGGCCCGAGTAATGACATCACAGCAGTAACAATAGAGACTGTGCGGCACTCCTAACTATGCTTTACCTGGTTTAAATAATAGCGCAGTGGCGTTATTGATCGACCACGTGTGCAGTGTGCGCAGCTTGCACTGCATCCAATCAGCCACGTCTCAGGAGGCAAAAGTGAGAAAAATTGAGAATTAAGGCTGACGAGGTGGCAAGACTAGTGGCAAATAGAGAAGGTACGATCAGATGGCTGTCTCAGAGTTCACCTTGGAGATCCCAGATGGCTTTTTTGATTTTGATGATGCCGATGATCTTTGACAGCTTGTAAAAGCGCCCTCTTCAGAGAAAACAACTGTACAGTCTAAACATTTTGCAACCACTGTATCTACCAATAAACTGGAGGAGTATTCCAAAGGATTTGTTCTTGTCTCTACAAGAGCCAATATGAAATGGGCTGTCACAAATTTTAACAAATGGGTCAAGAGTAGAAACATCTCCAAGTACGAAGAAGAACACATACGTCCTGACGTGCTATATAAGGCGTCTGCTGCTGAACTGAATAGAGTCCTTTCGTTATATGTGATTGAGACCAGAAATACAAAGGGAGAGATGTACCCCAATAAGACCATTAATCTGTTGCTGGCTGGTTTGAGGAGACACATGGTCAGTGAGAATCCGAAAGCTATCAACTTCCTAGATGAACGAAATCCAGAATTTTCAGGATTAAGAGGAGTAAGAGAGAGAGAGAGAGTTTCAAGAGAGTTATGGAGGGCTGGTGTTGGTATAGTTAAAAAACATGCAGAAAGAATCACATATGAGGAGGAACAGTTGATGTGGGGCAAGAAAGTGTTAGTACTTGACAATCCCCGAATGATATTGAATACAGTTTTCTTTTAAAATGGTAAAGTTCTAATTCTTAGAGCTGGTAGGGAACACTGTGAATTAAAGTTGTCACAGTTCACTTTTGAAATTGAGAGGGGCAAAAACTATGTACAATTTGCTGAGACAGGTTCCAAAAATCGCTCTGGAACTTACAAAGCCAAGCATACCAATAAAGTAGTGAAGCAGTATGCTGATGCTACACTGGGTAACAGATGCTTTCACTATATCCTGTCACTCTGCTTTCTAAAAATACCACAGAATTATGATGGAGATTGTTTTTATTTACGCCCCTGTCTAGATAGTGCAGCTCAAGAATGTGATATACCCTGGTTTATGTGTTAACCAGTAGGAAGGAATACCCTAAATGGAATGGTATCTAAAATGTCCAGTGCTGTTGGTATAGAAGGCAAAACAAATCATAGTCTTCGTGTTACAGGCACTACTAGGCTTTTCAATCCTCAAAATTCCAGAGAAGATAGTTTAAGAGAGATCAGAACACTTATCACTAAAGGCTCTTTCTTTGATGTTACGGGAGAACTTTAACCAAGCAACATGAATATGTCTCATCTATTCTCTCTTCTTCATCTCCTATGACCTTTCAGACACTAAACCATTTACTAAAAAGGAAGAAGATAGTAAGAAGGAAAATATGCCTCCAGAATGTGTCAGTACAGAATCCTCTCCTCATAAGAGTCATAACATTCAACCAACTTTTAGTAGCTGCAGTAATTGTGCAATTAATGTTAATATCAAGCTCCATTGATTTTTTTAATGATTTTTCATTCACTTGTTACATTAATCACCTTGAACTTTGCCAATATCCTGAACTTTGAACTGTGCCATTATCCAGATATTGGTACTAACAGTGCCAATAACTGGACAATGAATAACTGGACAATGGCACAGTTGAAGCCTTTGATCTAAGCCCCACCTATTATTTAATACTGGGAATGGTGGTTTCCAATTTACTTCTTAGCTATACAGAGTGGTTCATAGCAAAACTAGTAAATTTTGATGCAGAAAACCTAAGCTGTAGATGAAAGGTACTCAGCCATGCCCCCAAGCGTAGGCATCAATCAAATCTTGCTCTTTGACTCCGTATCTTAATCATTCTTCACTTATTAGTTGCTATTTTTCACAAATAATCACTTCACAACACTCAAATTTCAAATCAGTGTTTCAATAAATTTATCAATTTTAAGTTGTAAGTGCAAGCAGAAACATTTCACATTACACTGAGTTACTATGTGACTATAAATCAATCTCAGTTTAAGGTTCCCAATGGCCTACTTAAAACTGTTTGTTTTGTTTTTAAATTGCAGTTACAAAGTCATAAATGAGGACTAAAAGATGCTAAAAATTATATTAATTTTGCCAACTTTGCCAGAAACTTCTCTATAGTCTATATGACTATAAAAACATAAGAGATAATATGTAAGCAAGAATGAAAGTAAAATGAAAATTGAGAGCAGCCTGAGCTCCACCTATCAGAGTGGATGTTCATTTGTGCGCATGCTCAAAGCACAAAGTACAGCGCCACTGCTATGACTGCTGCTCTTCTGGTTCTGGTCTGGCTTGTCACTGATCAAGCGACTTGATCAGTGACAAGACAGACCAGAATTAAGCTACCTGTGGTAACCAGCCATTTATTGCTAGCATAGTAATGTCACGTGAGGAAGCTAAAGATGAGCTCAGAAATACTCTCACTAGAGCAATTGAACTGCCTCACTCTAGATTTGCCATAGTTGACAAGGACAATGATGATAACATACATGTATCCCCTCTTTTGTCCCCTAATATTCCAGTTCCACACAACCAATCTCATGTACAATGTATATAGCAGTAGATCTAGGCCAAGTACAATCACAATGGGAGCCAGAGGATCTTCATCATCCAGCATAGATACTCTACTCTTTTTTAGCAAATGAACTGTTGAG